AATTATGATAAAATCAATATCAACAACACAGACTATAAACTTGTTAAAGGTGCAAGAACATTTGCTCAGGTTTTCACCAGGTAAACCAGACATTCAACAGATAATTACCTTGTACACTTAACACATTCAATCTTCCTGAACCATCCTTACAAATCGACTCCAACATTACATGTAATTATAATCATGAATATTCATTAAAATCAAAGTATAAATGAAGACTGTAACATTAACTCTTTATACTTCTTCTTCCATTCAAAGATTCCTCTTTTTGTTACAATAATCAAATTTTTTTGCAATATCATTATCATTTGGCTTTTTAAAATTTTCCCACAAAAGACGATGACTGCAATCCCTGTCAGAATCATTCTGTTTACAAGATTCTCTTTGTACTCTTGAAACATACTTTAAAAAATACAGACCATTTACATGTCTACAAAAGATAAAGCAAGCAAATAAAAAATGGCCATTAGTGCAATTTTGTGTAAAACACAAGATTCATGTTGATCTCCAATATAACAAAAGCTTTCCTCTTAAAGTGATGTGATTTGTACACAGACAAGTGTAAAGGTCACTCTGAATATTCCTTGGTCCCAAATATGGCTGCTTTATTGCTATACAAGCACCGTAGTATTATATTTGACTTATATAGTATGATTAGCTGAAACATGAGGTTGTATTCTTCCAATTTGTATATAAACGTAGCGCTTCAGTCGTTCAATGGCAACACCATTTCTTTCTTGTTGTTCTATAATTCTTTTTGAAACTTAAAACAATTATAATATAAATGCTGCCACTGATTTTTCCATAAAAAATTTTCAGATCTATTTCCAAAAACATTACTACTCTAGATTTAGTTCTGACTGGTTATTAATAACTTATACATAAAGTAGGCCACACACAGACCTAACGCATTGTATCTTCTCTGATGTAGATTTAGTTCTGACAAAAAATGGTTATTATCAAAAAATTATTCAACACCATAAAAACCAGTTCTTCTGATTGTTGTTGTTGGTCTGTCCTATCTACCACTGAAAATATAAGTCTGTCCTATCTACCACTGAAAATATAAGTCTGTCCTATCTACTACTGAAAATATAAGTCTGTCCTATCTACCACTGAAAATATAAGCCTGTCCTATCTACCACTGAAAATATAAGCCTGTCCTATCTACTACTGAAAATATAAGCCTGTCCTATCTACTACTGAAAATATAAGCCTGTCCTATCTACTACTGAAAATATAAGCCTGTCCTATCTACTACTGAAAATATAAGCCTGTCCTATCTACTACTGAAAATATAAGCCTGTCCTATCTACTACTGAAAATATAAGCCTGTCCTATCTACTACTGAAAATATAAGTCTGTCCTATCTACTACTGAAAATATAAGCCTGTCCTATCTACTACTGAAAATATAAGCCTGTCCTATCTACTACTGAAAATATAAGCCTGTCCTATCTACTACTGAAAATATAAGCCTGTCCTATCTACTACTGAAAATATAAGCCTGTCCTATCTACTACTGAAAATATAAGCCTGTCCTATCTACTACTGAAAATATAAGCCTGTCCTATCTACTACTGAAAATATAAGCCTGTCCTATCTACTACTGAAAATATAAGCCTGTCCTATCTACTACTGAAAATATAAGCCTGTCCTATCTACCACTGAAAATATAAGCCTGTCCTATCTACTACTGGAAGTATAAGCCTGTCCTATCTACTACTGGAAATATAAGCCTGTCCTATCTACTACTGAAAATATAAGCCTGTCCTATCTACCACTGAAAATATAAGCCTGTCCTATCTACTACTGAAAATATAAGCCTGTCCTATCTACTACTGAAAATATAAGCCTGTCCTATCTAATACAAAAATATAAGCCTGTCCTATCTACTACTGAAAATATAAGCCTGTCCTATCTACCACTGAAAATATAAGCCTGTCCTATCTACTACTGAAAATATAAGCCTGTCCTATCTACTACTGAAAATATAAGCCTGTCCTATCTACCACTGAAAATATAAGCCTATCCTATCTACTACTGAAAATATAAGCCTGTCCTATCTACCACTGAAAATATAAGCCTGTCCTATCTACTACTGAAAATATAAGCCTGTCCTATCTACTACTGAAAATATAAGCCTGTCCTATCTACTACTGAAAATATAAGCCTGTCCTATCTACTACTGAAAATATAAGCCTGTCCTATCTACTACTGAAAATATAAGCCTGTCCTATCTACTACTAAAAATATAAGCATGTCCTATCTACTACTGAAAATATAAGCCTGTCCTATCTACTACTGAAAATATAAGCCTGTCCTATCTACTACTGAAAATATAAGCCTGTCCTATCTACTACTGAAAATATAAGCCTGTCCTATCTACTACTGAAAATATAAGCCTGTCCTATCTACTACTGAAAATATAAGCCTGTCCTATCTACTACTGAAAATATAAGCCTGTCCTATCTACTACTGAAAATATAAGCCTGTCCTATCTACTACTGAAAATATAAGCCTGTCCTATCTACTACTGAAAATATAAGCCTGTCCTATCTACTACTGAAAATATAAGCCTGTCCTATACTAGAAAATATAAGCCTGTCCTATCTACTACTGAAAATATAAGCCTGTCCTATCTACTACTGAAAATATAAGCCTGTCCTATCTACTACTGAAAATATAAGCCTGTCCTATCTACAACTGAAAAAATAAGCCTGTCCTATCTACTACTGAAAATATAAGCCTGTCCTATCTACTACTGAAAATATAAGCCTGTCCTATCTACTACTGAAAATATAAGCCTGTCCTATCTACTACTGAAAATATAAGCCTGTCCTATCTACTACTGAAAATATAAGCCTGTCCTATCTACTACTGAAAATATAAGCCTGTCCTATCTACTACTGAAAATATAAGCCTGTCCTATCTACCACTGAAAATATAAGCCTGTCCTATCTAAAACAAAAATATAAGCCTGTCCTATCTACTACTGAAAATATAAGCCTGTCCTATCTACTACTGAAAATATAAGCCTGTCCTATCTACTACTGAAAATATAAGCCTGTCCTATCTACTACTGAAAATATAAGCCTGTCCTATCTACTACTGAAAATATAAGCCTGTCCTATCTACTACTGAAAATATAAGCCTGTCCTATCTACTACTGAAAATATAAGCCTGTCCTATCTACTACTGAAAATATAAGCCTGTCCTATCTACTACTGAAAATATAAGCCTGTCCTATCTACTACTGAAAATATAAGCCTGTCCTATCTACCACTGAAAATATAAGCCTGTCCTATCTACTACTGAAAATATAAGCCTGTCCTATCTACTACTGAAAATATAAGCCTGTCCTATCTACTACTGAAAATATAAGCCTGTCCTATCTACTACTGAAAATATAAGTCTGTCCTATCTAATACTGAAAATATAAACCTGTCCTATCTAATACTGAAAATATAAGCCTGAAAATATAAGCCTGTCCTATCTACTACTGAAAATATAAGCCTGTCCTATCTACTACTGAAAATATAAGTCTGTCCTATCTACTACTGAAAATATAAGCCTGTCCTATCTACTACTGAAAATATAAGCCTGTCCTATCTACTACTGAAAATATAAGCCTGTCCTATCTACTACTGAAAATATAAGTCTGTCCTATCTACTACTGAAAATATAAGCCTGTCCTATCTACTACTGAAAATATAAGCCTGCCCTATCTACTTCTGAAAATATACGTCTGTCCTATATACTACTGAAAATATAAGCCTGTCCTATCTACTACTGAAAATATAAGCCTGTCCTATCTACTAATGAAAATATAAGCCTGTCCTATCTACCACTGAAAATATAAGCCTGTCCTATCTACTACTGAAAATATAAGCCTGTCCTATCTACTACTGAAAATATAAGCCTGTCCTATCTACTACTGAAAATATAAGCTGTCCTATCTACTAAAATGAAAATATAAGCCTGTCCTATCTACTACTGAAAATATAAGCCTGTCCTATCTACTACTGAAATTGCATAAGTGCCTGTTGCTTTTGTATGACTGAAAATATACACTAGTTTAATCCTGTCCTATCTACTACTGAAGCATATAAGCTGTCCTATCTACTACTGAAAATATAAGCCTGTCCTATAACAAAGGGCAATATCTACTAAGAAAATGTGGAGTCAAAGTACTACTGAAAATATAAGCTGTTACACAGCACATTATCATACTGAAAATATAAGATCAATGTAAACAGTAATACACTGCACACCTCCTATATATGACCAATGTATACACCAAGTTTATGATCTAGAAGCCTTCTAAAAAGTATCATATATTTCGGTCAGGAGTCTCTAGGAGAGCAGACTTCTGTACAAAAGATTTCACAGTATAGCTACGGATGAGTCATTATCATAATACCAGTATTTGCTATCAAATGTTCAACAGCCACAGGATTTCACAATTTCTAGTTGTTGAGTACATGGTATTGTAAGCATTTCACTAAGATGATTTAATTTCTGACAGATCTAAATAAATTATGGGGCCATCTATCCAATGCCACGTACCAACACACTGAGTATGCCTGCTTCCTTCCATTATAGACAATTATCAATTTATCAATTAATGAAAATGGTTTCATTTTAGTAGTTTACAAAAAAATTGAATCTGAAATCTGAATCGTATCCGATATGCAACATGATTGTATGATACTAAGAGGTAAACATACATGAAATCAGAAGAGAGTTGATGCTAGGTTCTCAATATATGATACTGATTACACACAGGATGCGACAGACCTGGTTAACACAAGATGCCACCCCCAATAAAATAGCCAGGGCATAAATGGGTGGCAGTATAGGTCATAAACACTGGCCACCAGCCAGTGATGGTGGCAAGATGAATGTGTGTAGTCATGGTGATAAGAAAGGTAACATGTTGTAGAAGTGCAGAGTTTGACTGTCCCCATTCAAAATGAAGTGTCACATAAAGTACAGTACTTACTTTGTTTCATTGACGACCCTTATTCTGGGACCAGGTGGCACCACTAGTCCAAGGTGGGCACGAAGTCGGCAGTTTGTTGGGCCACAATGAGGCCATACATGGACTCCTGGTTGCATCACAGAGAACTTCACCTACAGGTAAGAAAAGTTTAGGTAAGACAGGTAGGTGAAATCTGACATTTAATCTTATGGTAAGATAAGTGTAGGTAAGACAGGTAGGTTAAATCTAACATTAAATTTAATAGTAGGATTAGTGTAGTTGAGACAGGTAGGTGAAATCTGACATTACATCTACAGGTAAGATTAGTGTAGGTAGGACAGGTAGGTGAAATCTGTCATTACATTTAATAGTAAGATAAGTGTAGGTAAGACAGGTAGGTTAAATCTAACATTAAATTTAATAGTAGGATTAGTGTAGTTGAGACAGGAAGTTTAAATCTGACATTAAATCTACAGGTAAGATTAGTGTAGGTAAGACAGGTAGGTGAAATCTGACATTAAATCTACAGGTAAGATTAGTGTAGGTAAGACAGGTAGGTTAAATCTGACATTAAATCTACAGGTAAGATTAGTGTAGGTAAGACAGGTAGGTTAAATCTGACATTAAATCTACAGGTAAGATTAGTGTAGGTAGGAGAGGTAGGTGAAATCTGACATTACATTTAATAGTAAGATTAGTGTAGGTAAGACAGGTAGGTTAAATCTGACATTAAATCTACAGGTAAGATTAGTGTAGGTAAGACAGGTAGGTTAAATCTGACATTAAATCTACAGGTAAGATTAGTGTAGGTAAGACAGGAAGGTAAAATCTGACATTAAATCTACAGGTAAGATTAGTGTAGGTAAGACAGGTAGGTTAAATCTGACATTAAATCTACAGGTAAGATTAGTGTAGGTAAGACAGGAAGGTAAAATCTGACATTAAATCTACAGGTAAGATTAGTGTAGGTAAGACAGGTAGGTGAAATCTGACATTAAATCTACAGGTAAGATTAGTGTAGGTAAGACAGGTAGGTAAAATCTGACATTAAATCTACAGGTAAGATTAGTGTAGGTAAGACAGGAAGGTAAAATCTGACATTAAATCTACAGGTAAGATTAGTGTAGGTAAGACAGGAAGGTAAAATCTGACATTAAATCTACAGGTAAGATTAGTGTAGGTAAGACAGGAAGGTAAAATCTGACATTAAATCTACAGGTAAGATTAGTGTAGGTAAGACAGGAAGGTAAAATCTGACATTAAATCTACAGGTAAGATTAGTGTAGGTAAGACAGGAAGGTAAAATCTGACATTAAATCTACAGGTAAGATTAGTGTAGGTAAGACAGGTAGGTAAAATCTGACATTAAATCCATAACTTTGTTACACTTAACTTATTAAAAAAAACAAGAAAATACATTATAATGAACCAATATTTCAACATAACCATTATACAAACTCAAATTCAATAAACAAAAAACAGATTCACATATAGACTCCCGGAGAATTAGAATAAGACCATGTGTTCCAGAAGAGTAAGTGTCATCTGCTTCATCGTGGACACCCACCATGTAAACCTTGGTCAATCTAAGTAAGTAAGTAATGTCACATTCTCAAATCAAGTAAGAACAAGCTGGTACCGGTACATTACAACAGAACCAATGGGCAAACTGATGAGCATCAAACATGCCCAGCTTAATACAACATAAAGAAATAGAAGAAACCATTTTTGTTGTTGTTGTTGTTGTTGTTTACTAGTGTGTAAACCGTTTTCTGCTTTTTTGTACAGATACCTTAAATGACAAAACATGTACAACTAGCACCCACTAATAATGTATCAAGGAGATTTTTTTAGTAGTTTAAGTTGTTTATAAAACAGACTTACAGAAAAAGAGACCACAACCAATGAGTAAACTGAAAAGCACACAAACTTAAAGGTATATAATTTGTATAATTATACACACTTGATGAAATCTATGAAATTAACTGAATAATGGGGCTAGAACATCTCGCCTCCTAGATTGTGACATAAATATCTTTAAATTTATTCTTGATTTTCCTCAGTTGTCTCCTAGGTTTCAAAATTAAGGATCTGATGTCATTGACCAGTCCTAGGTGTACAAAACATCTATATAATGCAATTTAATTCATTAATTGAAACTACTGTATCTAGCTAAATTTGTATTGAAAAGTGATACACATTTGTGTGTCTTCTGTGAAATGTTGTAGAACATTAAAACCTAAAGGTGTATTAGGAGTGAAGACTTGAAACCTTTAATCTATAGATAAATGATATCATTGTATTGGTAACTGATAAAACCTACAGATAAACTGTAAGTGATCAGAAGCTCCTACACATGTATCCCAGACCTCATTTTTTATATCAAAAGTGAAAAATCTTGATTTAAAGTTCTTCAATATTGATCCATGGCGACAATATGTAAACATGTACACACAAGGGTTGATTTTTGGGTGGACACACATAGTAATTACTATATCCCCTCTACTTTATCAAATTAAAATGGGATGTTATGATTTAATATACAGGTAAAATAATTGTCAAGGAAAACCAACATGTAAATTATTCCTCAGGTGAATTATTCTACAGGTACAACAGATTATTGTACAGGTGTTCCTAGGTACAAAGACCAGGTGAATTATTCTACAGGTACAACAGATTATTGTACAGGTGTTCCTAGGTACAAAGACCAGGTGAATTATTCTACAGGTAAAACAGATTTTTGTACAGGTGTTCCTAGGTACAAAGACCAGGTGAATTATTCTACAGGTACAACAGATTATTGTACAGGTGTTCCTAGGTACAAAGACCAAGTGAATTATTCTACAGGTACAACAGATTATTGTACAGGTGTTCCTAGGTACAAAGACCAGGTGAATTATTCTACAGGTACAACAGATTATTGTACAGGTGTTCCTAGGTACAAAGACCAGGTGAATTATTCTACAGGTACAACAGATTATTGTACAGGTGTTCCTAGGTACAAAGACCAGGTGAATTATTCTACAGGTACAACAGATTATTGTACAGGTGTTCCTAGGTACAAAGACCAGGTGAATTATTCTACAGGTACAACAGATTATTGTACAGTTGTTCCTAGGTACAAAGATCAGTTGAATTATTTTACAGTCTCCATGTGAAATACAACTTCCCTGACATGCACGAGGGTCACTATTTGCCATTCTAATCAAACAGTTGTAAAGTGTACTGCAAACAGACACAACCACAATAGTACAGGACAACCTGTGATCTCGGTATCCTGCCCGAGAACCACAAACCTGCTATGTGTAGAAATGAAACCACATACATCAGATGATTATAGGATTATGAAGGTCTACTGGCTGTGCTATAACTGTCCTTGTATATACATACACATCACTCAACCTGAACACTTTATTCCCCCTTTTTTTTCCAAAGCTGGTATATATATCAATTCTTACCTGACCACGACGACATTCCTTTGACTCGGGAATTCGTTCAATAAGTTCACAAGTCTTTGGTGCCTTGTTACAATTGTTTTTCTCTTTTCTTCCTGAAAATAAAAATTGAACTTTTGTTAGGCCTAATATTTCCCTATGATAGCAAGTACAGTCTTTCTTAGTAAAATTATATAGTACTGGCTAAATAAAGCTAAATAAAATCATTAAAAGAAAATATGTAGTTATCTCTCCTTAATATAGTAACAAGAGATCAATTGTTACATCATGGCTTTGCTTATCTCTTAATGCCAAGCATTTTATATATGGTTATGTGGTGGGGCTTTCAACTGTTTCAAAGAACTATTGTACAAATTAAGACCTCCAAGTATTATATAGAATTAAGATCTACTACTATTGTACAAATTAAGACCTCTGACTATAAAGAATTAAGATCTATCAGTAGTGTTCAAGTGAAGATCCACCTTTATTGTACAAATTAAGATCCACCTTTATTGTACAAATTAAGACCTTCAAGAATTATATGAATTAAGATCTACTAATATTGTACAAATGAAGATCCACCTTTATTGTACAAATTAAGACCTCTGACTATAAAGAATTAAGATCTATCAGTAGTGTACAGATTAAGATCCACCTTTATTGTACAAATTAAGACCTTCAAGAATTATATGAATTAAGATACAACAGATATTGTACAAATGTTCCTAAGATCAACCTTTATTGTACAAATTAAGATTTTTGAGGTTATATGAATACAAAGACCAGGTGAATTATTCTACAAAAACAGATTTTTGTACACCTTTATTGTACAAATTAAGACCTTGAAATAATTATATGAATGCAAGAGGGTCACTATATTGTACAAACAGTTGTAAAGTGTACTGCACCACAATTGTACAACAACCTGTGATCTCGGACCTGCTGCTATAAAGAATTGAAACCACATACATCAGATGATTATAGGATTATGAAGGTCTACCTTTATTGCAATAACCTTCAAGAATTATATACAATACACATCACTAATATTGCACAAATTTATTCCCCTTTATTTTCCAAAGCTGGTATATATATCAATTCTTACCTGACCACGACGACATTCCTTTGACTCAGGAATTCGTTCAATAAGTTCACAAGTCTTTGGTGCCTTGTTACAATTGTTTTTCTCTTTTCTTCCTGAAAATAAAAATTGAACTTTTGTTAGGCCTAATATTCTAAATTAAGATCCTATGATAGCAAGTACACCTTTATTGTAAAATTATATAGTACTGGCTAAATAATATGAATATAATCATTAAAAGAAAATATGTAGTTATCTCTCCTTAATATAGTAACAAGAGATCAATTGTTACATCATGGTTTTGCTTATCTCTTGATGCCAAGCATTTTATCTATGGTTATGTGGTGGGGCTTTCAACTGTTTCAAAGAACTATTGTACAAATTAAGACCTCCAAGTATTATATAGAATTAAGATCTACTACTATTGTACAAATTAAGACCTATTACTATAAAGAATTAAGATCTATCAGTAGTGTTCAAATTAAGATCCACCTTTATTGTACAAATTAAGACCTCCAAGAATTATATGAATTAAGATCTACTAATATTGTACAAATGAAGATCCACCTTTATTGTACAAATTAAGACTTCTGACTATAAAGACTTAAGATCTATCAGTAGTGTACAAATTAAGATCCACCTTTATTGTACAAATTGAGACCTCTGACTCTGACATATATTAAGATCTACCACTATTGAAAACAAAATTTAATACTTTACAAACTAGGACCTACCTCTACTGTATAATGTTAATTGTTTCCAGTCTCCAGTTTCCCGGAGGTTTTCATCTTCAGGTAAGAAATCTCCTGTGTTGGAATTGAGCAGACTAACAGCTTCATCTCTGATGACCTTCCAGTTATCCTCCAGCAGCTGTAGTAATTGTTAACAATATATAGCTTAAGCAAATAATACTGCATTGTATAAAGGTATGTTTTGATGTTTCTGAGGAAGTGTCAAATGGGTAGCGTTTGGGGTAGTAACTATGGCAACAGAAATGTCAACAACATTCTAGTCTTGTCAGTCCGTTGTCTGTCCAGGTAATCATAGGTGACATTTGCCCCTGTCTTGTTAGTCTGTCCAGTAATCAGAGGTGACACCTATCTTAGTCTTGTTAGTCTGTTTTGGTAATCAGAGGAGAGATCTGTTCTCAGCTATTTTGGTAAGACAAATAAAAATTGCACTAACCTTGATATGTCTTGCATATCCTGTTTCCTCAACTGTCCACCAAGGTCGACTGGTTAAAGTCCATACATTATAAAGTGACCTCTGGTACGCTGACAGGAAAAGACCTTTAGCAGCTCCTTCATGGTAAAATTTGTATGCCTGGAAATATATCAGTATGGTATATCAAATAGGAAAGTGAAGTGTAATATTAAGTCTCACAACAGTATGATATTACAATTACTCTTAATGAAATCTGAGTATAATATTACTGTCACTCTCAAAATAAAGTACCCAGTATAATATTACTGTCACTCTCACAGTAAAGTACACAGAGTAATATCACTGTCACTCTCACAATAAAGTACCCAGTGTAATATCACTGTCACTCTCACAATAAAGTACACAGAGTAATATTACTGTCACTCTCACAATAAAGTACCCAGTGTAATATTACTGTCACTCTCACAATAAAGTACCCAGTGTAATATTACTGTCACTCTCACAATAAAGTACCCAGTGTAATATTACTGTCACTCTCACAATAAAGTACACAGAGTAATATTACTGTCACTCTCACAATAAAGTACCCAGTGTAATATCACTGTCACTCTCACAACAAAAAATCCAGTATAATATTACTGTCACTCTCACAATAAAAAATCCAGTATAATATTACTGTCACTCTCACAATAAAGTACCCAGTGTAATATTACTGTTACTCTCACAATAAAGTACCCAGTGTAATATTACTGTCACTCTCACAATAAAAAATCCAGTATAATATTATTGTCACTCTCACAATAAAGAATCTAGTGTAATATTAGTTACTCTCACAATAAAAAATATTACCAGTATAATATAAGTACTGTCACTCTCACAATAAATGTACCCAGTGTAATATTACTCAATGTAATTATATGTTACTCTCACAATAAAGAACTCAGTGTAATTATATGGTCACTCTCACAATAAAAAATCCAGTATAATATTATTGTCACTCTCACAATAAAGAATCTAGTGTAATATTAGTTACTCTCACAATGAAAAGTCAGTGTGATATTACTGTCACTTCCGCAATGAAGATTTCAGTTTAATATAAGTTACTTTCACAATCAAGAACTCAGTGTAATTATATGGTTACTCTCACAATTAAGAACTCAGTGTAATTATATGGTTACTCTCACAATTAAGAACTCAATGTAATTATATGGTTACTCTCACAATTAAGAACTCAGTGTAATTATATGGTTACTCTCACAATTAAGAATTCAGTGTAATTATATGGTTACTCTCACAATTAAGAACTCAGTGTAATTATATGGTTACTCTCACAATTAAGAACTCAGTGTAATTATATGGTTACTCTCACAATTAAGAACTCAGTGTAATTATATGGTTACTCTCACAATTAAGAACTCAGTGTAATTATATGGTTACTCTCACAATTAAGAACTCAGTGTAATTATATGGTTACTCTCACAATTAAGAACTCAGTGTAATTATATGGTTACTCTCACAATTAAGAACTCAGTGTAATTATATGGTTACTCTCACAATCAAAATTCAAACCATGGTTACTCTCACAATTGAAAACTCAGTGTAATATTATTCACAATAAAAAAAAACTATAAAACTTACCATTGACATTTCTCACAAACCTTTAACAATTAATAATAGTTTTTAAAATCCTCATCAACAAAATGAAATTAGGATCACCTTCAATTTTTTTTTTTACTTTTCATACCTTTGAAATTTGAAATAAAAATGATGCTAATTATTCACCTCTTCTGTATTGCCTATCCTTTGTAGTGCCTCCCCCAAGTGGAAATAGAATCTGCCATCCTCTGTCCCAGGTTCACCTGTTGCTATCCCTTCCTGTAGTAATGGAATAGCCTCCTTGAAGTTTAGGTCAGCAGACTTGAGTATGAAGCCAAGGTGGACTTTTGCAAAGCCATCAACAGGATGGATGGAGAGGACCTAAGATGAGAGTTTACATGTCATTAACCAGAGGTATCTTGGTGTCCACCATTTCTTGTTTTTTTTAATTTGTTTTTAATAAGTTGGACATTTTCCCTTCTTTTCAATTCTTCCCTCTTTTCTTGTTCTTTCTTATATGGAATTTGAAATTTTCTTCAAAAATAGTGATATATGATAATCTTTATATAATATAATAGTTTAGGAATGAACAGACAACTTATCATGGACACAGACATGAAGGTGATATGAAGAGCCCACCATTATCAAAAGGATACCCTCAGCACAATATATCTATATACAAATTATTAAATAAATTGGACAATTAAGTCCTCTATGGAAACCCTACCCCTTGCCTTACCTCTCCCTCCTCTGTGGAAACCCTACCTCTTGTCTCACCTCTCCCTCCTCTGTGGAAACCCTACCTCTTGTCTCACCTCTCCCTCCTCTGTGGAAACCCTACCCCTTACCTCACCTCTCTGTCCTCTATGGAAACACGACTCCTTACCTCACCTTTCTGTCCCCTATGGAAACCTTTCTCCTTGCCTTACCTCTCCCTCCTCTGTGGAAACCCTACCTCTTGTCTCACCTCTCCCTCCTCTGTGGAAACCCTACCTCTTGTCTCACCTCTCCCTCCTCTGTGGAAACCCTACCCCTTACCTCACCTCTCTGTCCCCTATGGAAACCTTTCTCCTTGCCTTACCTCTCCCTCCTCTGTGGAAACCCTACCCCTTACCTCACCTCTCTGTCCTCTATGGAAACCCTATCCCTTGCCTTACCTCTCCCTCCTCTGTGGAAACCCTACCCCTTACCTCACCTCTCTGTCCCCTATGGAAACATTTCTCCTTGCCTTACCTCTCCCTCCTCTGTGGAAACCCTACCCCTTACCTCACCTCTCTGTCCTCTATGGAAACCCTACCCCTTGCCTTACCTCTCCCTCCTCTGTGGAAACCCTACCCCTTACCTCACCTCTCTGTCCTCTATGGAAACCTTTCTCCTTGCCTTACCTCTCCCTCCTCTGTGGAAACCCTACCCCTTACCTCACCTCTCTGTCCTCTATGGAAACCCTATCCCTTGCCTTATCCCCCCCTCCTCTGAAAACCCTACCCCTGAATCCTACCCTGCCTCACCTCAGAGAAAACATTTTTGGCTGCAACCATGTTCCCAATGAGAATGTAGCTCAAACCTAGCTGGTTACGAATGTTGTAGTCCTCAGGGAATTTCTCTACCAGGTGACGCCACGTCTTTGTAGCTTTATCTCCCCAACCTGTGGATACGAAAAACAATACAGAATATCATGATATTATGATTACAACTACTGCCTTTTGAAAGGAATCGACTAACAGGACTGAGATGACATTGTGACATTTGGGACTGAACAGTGTACACAGAACATCAATCCTTAAGATAAGGAAAACATGTGCTATGCAGTCATACTTCCCACAATTATTTACTATGAACATTGTTTCATCAAAATTTGGTTTAAAATTCTGAAGCACTCAAAATACCTTCAGTTGTGGTTTATGATTCCATAGATGATCAGAATTATGAAAAATAAGATATCACAAAAATATAACTAAAACTAGACAGAATATCAGTATCAAAACTAAAGGCATTTCTGACTTTCTCTTTCAGCTTAGCAACTACCAGGTCATAAAAAGTTAGCAACTACCAGTTCATAAAAAATTAGTCACTACCAGATTATAAAAAGTTAGCCACTATCAGTTCATAAAAAGTTAGTCACTACCAGTTCATAAAAAATTAGTCACTACCAGATTATAAAAAATTAGTCACTACCAAAGTTAGTCACTATCAGATCATAAAAAGTTAGTTACTACCAGGTCATAAAAAGTTAGTCACTTCCAGGTCATAAAAAGTTAGCCACTATCAGATCATAAAAAATTAGTCACTATCAGATCATAAAACGTTAGTCACTACCAAAGTTAGTCACTATCAGATCATAAAAAATTAGTCACTACCAGATCATAAAACGTTAGTCACTACCAAAGTTAGTCACTTCCAGGTCATAAAAAGTTAGCCACTATCAGATCATAAAAAATTAGTCACTACCAAAGTTAGTCACTATCAGATCATAAAAAGTTAGTTACTACCAGGTCATAAAAAGTTAGTCACTTCCAGGTCATAAAAAGTTAGGCACTATCAGATCATAAAAAATTAGTCACTACCAGATCATAAAACGTTAGTCACTATCAGATCATAAAAAATTAGTCACTACCAGATCATAAAACGTTAGTCACTACCAAAGTTAGTCACTTCCAGGCCATAAAAAGTTAGCCACTATCAGATCATAAAAAATTAGTCACTATCAGATCATAAAAAGTTAGTCACTATCAGATCATAAAAAATTAGTCACTACCAAAGTTAGTCACTATCAGATCATAAAAAATTAGTCACTACCAGATCATAAAACGTTAGTCACTACCAAAGTTTGTCACTTCCAGGTCATAAAAAGTTAGCCACTATCAGATCATAAAAAATTAGTCACTATCAGATCATAAAAAGTTAGCCTGTTACCATTTGCCTGGTTTTAACAGAATCACAGTCACAAATTCACTATCCTGTTTGATTATAAATTTCAATTGGGAAAACTGCTGTTGTCTGCTGACAGTGGAAACAATACTTACACAATTAAAACATATACTCAACTCTTATATTAAATAAAAAAATTAGTGGATGTTTTAAACCACCACAAACAGACTTTGAAGTCTTGAATATAACTGACCTCTGAACTGTTGTCTCTCAGCCAATCGTCTGCCACCTAGCTGAAGTAGCCTGTCAGGAACATCTGGGATATTGAGAAGTTTGTCAAGACTGCTGATAGCTTGCTCCAGAAAGGCGTTACTCTGCCTTTTTTCAGCCATTTTGTCCAGAACTATTCCCTTGCCATAATTGGCGCGGGGACTATTGGGGTAATTTTGTAAAACCTTATCATATTTAGTCAAGGCTTCTTCCAAGTCTCCCTGTAAAATATACAAAACACACCAAATACTTGAATATGAAATCTTGTGAATTAGAAACCTTTCCTACATATTGAACAGTTCCCTTAGATAAACACTTGAACAAATAATTATCGTATTCTGTCTGGTTATACAAAATCTTGTGAATTAGAAGTCTTTCCTACAGATTAAACAGGTCATCCTGATATATGATTATACAAATAATTATTATACTCTAAATTGTCTTACTAGTGATCAATTCTCACAAACATATACCTACCTCCTTCAATACAAACTTATGAAACCCTCCCTACCTATCACACCTACCTCCTCGCTTAGTTTGTCTGCACTATCCAGTCTCTTTCTGTTTCTGTAGTCACGACTGTTTGTGATAAGGAGGTGTGGATATGCTGCCTTCTCCTCTGCTTTTCTTACTCTCTCTGTTTCCTTCTTTGATTTCTCAGTATCTGTCTCTTTAGTACTTGTTTCAATATTCTCATCCTTTTGATCAGGAACAACCTCCTCCTTCACAGGATCTGAACTAACTTCAACTTTCTCTCTGATGGGTTCTGGAGTGACCTCCTCTCTGATGGATTCTGGAGTAACCTCCCCTCTGACTGGTTCTGGAGTAACCTCCTCTCTGACCGGTTCTGGAGTAACCTCCTCTTTGATGGGTTCTGGAGTAACCTCCTCTCTGACCGGTTCTGGAGTAACCTCCTCTCTGACTGGTTCTGGAGTAACCTCCTCTCTGATGGGTTCTGGAGTAACCTCCTCTCTGATTGGTTCTGGAGTAACCTCCTCTCTGATTGGTTCTGGAGTAACCTCCTCTCTGACTGGTTCTGGAGTAACCTCCTCTCTGATGGGTTCTGCAGTAGTCTCCTCTCTGATTGGTTCTGGAGTAGTCTCCTCTCTGATGGGTTCTGGAGTAACCTCCTCTCTGACTGGTTCTGGAGTAACCTCCTCTCTGACTGGTTCTGGAGTAACCTCCCCTCTGATTGGTTCTGGAGTAGTCTCCTCCTTGATGGGTTCTGGAGTAACCTCCTCTCTGATGGGTTCTGGAGTAGTCTCCTCTCTGATTGGTTCTGGAGTAGTCTCTCTGATTGGTTCTGGAGTAACCTCCTCTCTGATTGGTTCTGGAGTAACCTCCTCTCTGATGGGTTCTGGAGTAACCTCCTCTCTGACTGGTTCTGGAGTAACCTCCTCTCTGACTGGTTCTGGAGTAACCTCCTCTCTGATGGGTTCTGGAGTAACCTCCTCTCTGATGGGTTCTGGAGTAATCTCCTCTCTGACTGGTTCTGGAGTAACCTCCTCTCTGATGGGTTCTGGAGTAACCTCCTCTCTGATGGGTTCTGGAGTAACCTCTTCTCTGATTTGCTCTGAAACACCTTGAATGTTTGTTTGGTCTCCATCAGTTTCATCATCATCTTCTGTGTCATCTTCATTATCTAACATAGAGGATATCTTATTTTGCAAATTGTTCTTGTTTGGTTCATTAACTGCTTTTTGTTGCTCGTGTTTAAGTTGTTCAAACAATTCTTTTTCTTCCTTTTCTGTGAGTTCTGCAGTTTGTTGATTTTGTTCTGTCTCTGTAGCCATTTCTGAATGTGCTGTCATGCCACCAACAGGATCTTGTTCACTTATGTCAGACTGTTCTGGTGTAACCATTTCTTCTTCAATTGGTTCAGTAATTTCTGGTTGTGATGGTTCAGGATCTTTCCCTTCTTCTGTAGCTACAACAGCTTCTGGCTCTTTCAATTTGCTGAGATCCAATTCATTTGCTTGTGGCTGAGCTGGTTCAAGAATTTGTTCTTCCTCAGTAGCATGTACCACTTCAGGTTCTATTTCTGGAGTAAGTTCTGGCTCAATGGGTTGAGCTAGTTCTTGTTCTGCGATTTCAGGTTGTTTTGGTTCATTTACTGATCTTGCTTCAGATTCTTGTTCTTTCATAATCTCAGGCTCATTGAATTGGTCCAGCTCTGGTTCAGAAAGTCCTGGTTGACTTGGTTGAATATTTTCATCTACTTCTGATATTTGAGGTTGTTCTGGTTCAGACATTGCATCCTGCATTGGTTCTGTGGTCTGTACGAGTTCAGGTTTATTAAATATCACATTTCCTGGTTCATTCTTCTCTGCTTCTACCCTTAATTCTTCTGGCTCTGGTTTATTTACTTCTGGTTCTACAGGTTTGGGAACCTCACCTTCTTCTGTCTCTAGTTTTGCAGCATCTTCTTCATCTTCAATAACCTCCACGACTTCTGGTTCTTTTGCTTCTGGGAAATCCACTGTGTCAACCTCTATTTTCTCAACTCCTAGCTCAACAGGTTCTTGTTTCTCAGTTTCTAGTTTTACATGGTCGATAAACTCAGATAATATCGGCTCTTTTTCTTGTTCAGTGACATCAACCTGCAGCGGTTCAATTTCATCGTGGTCAAAGGATTCAACTTGTTCTTGTTCAGGCATTTCTATTTGTTCTGTCTCATAAGCTTCAACATGTTCTGGTTCAAATTCTTGGATTTGTTCTGATACATCGATATCACCATTTTCTTCATGAATGTCTTGTGGTGAGAGCTCATCAATGATTTCTGGTTGTTCATGTGTATCTTGAATCTTTTGTTCTGTCACCGTTTTCTCCACATCTTCTCCAGTCTCTTGATCTTCAGAATCTCTCTTTGGTCGCTGACTTTTTTCAGATTCAGGCTCAGCAATTTGAGATTTAAGCTGTAAAAAGGCTTCATGAAGTTGACTTTTGAGAGACCTGAGTTGATCATATGCCATAAGTAGCTTGTCTTGAACTTTATATTCTTCTAATGTCCTTTCTGGGAAAAGAAAAACAAATAATTATTAATAATGTTTACAAATCTGGTCATGTCTTATATTTCTTTGTGTTTGTTCCATTTTATTCCCATTATCAATCAACTCGCATCAAGAGTCGTCATCTTCGATTCATATTTAGATGCATCGATATCTAGCACCTTTTGGAGGCCATTTTTAATTAATTTATTTCTGAAGACCCCTTTCAAAGTGGTAAATATTGGAATTTTGCTCACACGTTAAGCAGTACAGGTGACCGATCACTGGATTATCTCTAAATTTAGAATTATTTTTAACAGGGTAGATTTTTCTTATCAAATTTAAGTTATAATGTATTCAAGGCTGACATATTCTGATTAGCAGGAATTGTGTCTGTTATAATTTCGAAAACAACAAATACAATTTAAAATAACACTGATAATTTTTTTCTTTTTTTTTTTTTATCATACTGGGGTAATGTTTTTCATATCTAAGATATCTACAAGACTACCTGTAGACAGATAAAAGGTATATTAACCTTACTCTGACCTTTATTCAAACAAATTGTAAATCTTAGAAGTCCAGTTTCAAGGAGATATAGTGGGTTTTGAAAATAGCAGTGTGAGTTCCAAAAATCACTGAAATGCTTCCTGAACAGAAAAATCTGAAAAAAACATATCATTTTTCAAGAATCCCTGAATTCTTACCAATTACTACTTGATATTCCTCATTAGCATATATAACTGCTCCCACAGCCACCATTATGGTGAAAATAAAGATAACACACATATGCGGGCAGTGTGAACGACTGGCTTTCTTGGAGTTGGATTTTGGTGCAGTCAAAATTTGTTCTGATTTCTTGGTTTGGCCATTCTGTGTAGACTTCTGTTGTTTATCAGGTGTTGTCTGCCTCTTCTTATTACTAAAATCATTTTCTGGATGAAAGAACATGACAAAAGAAAATTAAAATAAAAAGACTATACAGATGTATTATGGCTATCACATATAATTAACAATGTAGTGTTTGGAATAATAAACAGAACAAGCAATTAGTCATTAACATAAAATTTATAGGATAATTCAATCAAACATGAGCTTTAGACTACTATATCCGGAAGAGAATACAGAATTGAAGCACAGATCTAAAAACAGGAGATAATGCCTGGTGGGTTTTGTTTCTGTGGGTTTCCCTCCGACACAACACATTTGCTACTTCTAAAGCATTAACATGGCAAAAGCTCTACAGAGCTTCTTCATTTTTCATTTGAATGCAAAAGCATTTACTTTAGCCTCTTACCTGTCTTCAAGATTATTTTTTTTCATATGGCCTGTTGGGCTGGCCTACTGATCCATCACCATTTCATACATATTATTATTACTGTTGTTTTTGTTTTAATCCCCCAGAAAATATGCATGATGTAGACTTAGATGTTCAAGATGTTTAATTAATCACCCGTAGCTGATAAGATTCATGAAAACAGATTTCTACTATAGGAAGGAAGGTGTAAAATACCTGGCTCCACTGGAGCTGCAACCATCTGGAATACAGCTTGACACATACTGCTTGACAAAAGAGATATTCCCACAAGCCTCTAATAAGCTTAAGGTAGCACGTACTTTCAACTGCTACTGTACATACATGTATATATATATATGTACTCTAGAGAATGTCATCGCTATTCATCCTGGCCTGTCATCAGGCCATTTTGTAGTACCATAGGGAACGTGCGTAATACACATATATGTACGCATATCTTCAAAGATACAGTATGACAGAGCAGTACGACAAGTACAGTGTTAGAATGTCCAATGCTTTATGGAAAGTCAAGGTTATGAGGATGCAAAAGCTTATAAAAAAAGATGACAAGTGTGTTCAATCAAGCATCATTTGACATTTCTTGTCCAATAGTTTGGCTATCTGAGAAATAATGCAACATCAAAATGGAATTGTTAATTACCTTGATGATAATTGCTTTTCTGGGATTTATTCTTGGATGCCTTTTTCTTCCCGCTCGCCATTTGTCACAGTTTACCTTCCTGCCAATTACTTGATTTCAGTTTCAGCAACCACTTCTTCCCCGGTATACCAACGTGTACTTTAACCCCGGAAGTTTTTGTCAGAGTTCACAATACATGCGCATTGTTAGTGATGCCAATACCTCATATCCGCAATATACGAACACAAGTTTTTAAAAGAAACTCACTTAACATGAAAACAATGAAACAGAGTTGAAAAATACAGGACCCGAAAAACAAAAAACATACATTATAAACCATTTGATAATATGTTCGAAAATGCCAAAGAAAGGCTAGGTCAGTGCCCGCATATATTCATACGCCATAAGAAAAAATTAATCAATTTTTACAAATTTATCTTTTTCACATGTTCAATGAAACTCATTATTTGGTAAAAAAGCGAATTGTTTCAAAATGAATTTTGAGTAAAGATGTATGTTGCATATTTATAATGAATACAAAAAATATCACTAGACAATATTTTAAGAACTATTTTTCAAGGTGTGGGTTCTTCCGATTTCGTTTATGACTCAGTACATTGTTCGGTTCCGTTTACGATAATATTGACAGCAACTGTAAATACCTATTGATGTCCGTGTCAGTTTCACGATGTAATCATGGATGAATATTAATTTTAAAGTGATGTAATACGTTCAGATAAAACCTATATAAAATGGGGAGGCACGGGAAGTGTTTCAATGCCGCCTTTTATACAACCCTGCTGATAATTTTGATCCTTCAGTTGGTAAGTTATGAGTGTATTCAACCATGTTGTATGTTGTAAAATTTCGGGTTTTTTGTGGTTGTGTATGTGTACTTTAGCGTCTAAAAACCCGAATCGCCGATCCTGATAGTAGGAATTATGATAGGAATGATTATTATACATCATTTAACTTGGCTGGGGCCACATTATAAAACTTAGATCTGTCCAAGATATGACCTGACTTTGAATGTAATCAGCTGACAGAACATCGGTTTTTATCCTTAGTTACAACGCATAAAGTGGTTTTACCATTTTGATAAATTTAAAAACCTAAGAAAAAGATCTGAATATCAATGAACACATGTGATAATACCACCAACTAAAATGAAATTGGTTCAGGTTATTATCTCTAGGACATAAAACACAGTGTATGTACAAGTGGAGAAGTATATCCTTTTAATGTCACAAAGCAGAAGACTTTCAGTAGACTGTTGTTAAATATGTACAGTGCTAGTAGTCTAGATATATATATGAGATATTTTTTATTGTAGTTGAGTACACTGGAGAGGCAGGTGTTTGATTTTCTGGGATTTATGTGGGCTCCCATCATTGCAAACTTCTTCCAACTAGTGTGTGTCATTATTGGAGGATTCGGTGCCTACCAGTACAGAACAAAATTCATTGCAGTGGTAAGTAAAAATACACATCAGAACATATATTTCATGTGATTAAATTTCAGTAGTAAGCATTAGTATTTCAGAGTAGTTCAAATGTCACATATGTATTGGACAAAAAAGCCCTTGTCATTGACAGTATCCTATCATACATATTTCAAATTGAAATTCAAACATGGATATACATGTGTCAGTAGCACTATATGTATAGCCATTCTGTATTGTAAAAGGTTTATTTGGGGACCATGTAGGGGAAAACAAACAACAACTGTGACATCGTAAAATCATGAAAATCTCGAAAGACGCTCCGAAATTCTAAGGATAAAAGACTCAAAAGAGAATGTCACAGAATATGTGATACAGAAACTACTTTACATCATATTTTGGAGATATTGAAAAAGAGATTTAAAGTTTGACTTGCTCAGTAAGAATGGGGATCTCGAGAAGACAGGAAATGAGGAAATTTAATTGATTGAAACAGTTATTTAAGGGGAAATAATAAAATGGATATCTTTAGATCATGCCATTTTGTTGCTTTTATGATTAATTTACAGTGTATATTGCTGATAAGAATTTTCAGATAACATCAGTAGACAAAAATCATTGGAATCATCATGCCCTGCTGTTGTTTTTTTCCTTCAAATTTTCAGTTTTGAAGATCCATGCAAGTTAATAAGAGAAAATTCTGATAATCATACAGGGATTAATTTTATATTACTTGTGAAAAGAAAGTTGATTAATATCTGGAAAACTAATATTAAAAAGGTGAAATAGACTAGCAATGAGAATGCTCCTTGTAAATGTGTCGCAGCTGTAGTCTGTCCTTAAATGTAAAAATGAATATAAAGATCAGTAAACATGTAATAGTGATAACATAATGTGTTAATAAAATTCTCATAGAAGTTGAATGTAAATTGTATTAGACTTATGCAAATTATAATCATGATTGTACAACATTGTTAATTTATGAACTACATTATGTAAGAAAAATATCTACATAATTCAGTTGTTTTTTTAATTGCCAGTTACTGAATACATGTCTAAATCTAAAAAAAACAATTTGTAATAGAAAAATTGTTTCCAATATCAAAGTAAAGAGGAATGATTTGTATTGATAAAAAAATTACATGAGTCTTATGAGTTTGATTGGATTTCTTCTGATCACTGACGGTTGCTTCAGAAACTACTTCCTGTATTATGTGTAACAGCCACTAATCTGGATAGCTAAGACTTCTGATGTAGATTTCCTTGATAATCACATCTCATGAGAGCATCTGAGATTTTCTTTACGATTATAATCTGTATTGATCTTCTAGAGCTCTGTCTATACTGAAACCAGTATGGTTTTCATGTTACTTTGCTGCTTAAACAACTATATGGCTGTTTGTTTCAAATCTGGTGGTGTACTGTATATTCCAGATTACTGTATATTGTACTCAGTGACCAAGGCGATAACATTTCATTACATGATTTTTAAGTCATTTTTAGTACACATACTGTTAATGTTTGGGCCCGAGGGTGTTAATAGTTAACATTTCTGTGTGAGTGATTTAAGTTTTTGTCTTACTCTTTAAAGGAAGTGAAAGAGATTTTCCCAACATAATTAAAAATGATGCTCTTTCATTCAACTGATCTTTGAAAATGGCATCCTAACATTTTTTTTTTCTAAATTGAAATATAATTCTCTAGAGGTAATGTCAAAATAATGTATTGGTTGGAAAACAGTCATCCTGTACTGTTGTGGACTCCTGTGTGTTCATGTCATTTAGCTAAACACTTAACACTTATTTAATGGTTCTAGATAGTAGTGGATAGCATGCAGTGAACCTTCCGCATCATGTTCAGTGTAGCTATAGCAACCAGTTACTACAGGGAGGTACTGCCTCAAAATGACCTTGATTGTACGAAAGGCAATCAACCCAAGACATGTTGGATCTTAAAACAATATATTATGCACCTGATCGTAATGTACAGCGTAAAGTGATGAAAACAGTAAAGTAGCAGCTGTTTATTAGTGTGTGATCGATAGAAATCGTCATGTAAAGGAATGTGCATGCACACATCAGATATACTACAGGGTGTTCGATTCTGTTTCATTAATAGATCCTAGGCAATACCTCTGTATGTTTCTAACAGCAAAAAAAGCAAATTTAAAGCACCTTATAAATGACATCCAATAAATTATATTGTTGTGACATTATTTAATATTGTTGAAAAAAAAATGGCTGCAATTATTGCAGAGCAAACTACATATTTTAGATAAATCCAGTTGTATAGGAATAAGGCCCATATTCAGCCCTGCAGAATCCCCAGAAAAAGCCTCGAAGTTCTAATCTACAGCAACATATTATAAGTAGTATGAGAATAAATCATTTGATTAACTTTCATGGAATAAAAATGTTCATTATTATACCCGATTTTTGTCTGCTATTTTTTTTCCTTAATCTAGATATCAGTGATATAAATATACAGTTCAGAATTTACGCTACACATCATTATTCATCATTGATTCTAGTCTCTACAAAACTTGTTTAATTACATTTTTGATTTAATTCTTGTTTAGATCAGTTCCTTGATATTCTTAGTAGATATTTCTGAAATGTGTAGTTACATATACATTTGTAGAACTGTCAACTTTTCATTACTTTCAAAACTGTTGACACCTGAACATGAATATCTCGACAATCAGTCCCTCACCATTGATAGGTGTTTGCTGCATGTGCTACACCTACAGAGTGTTTAGGATCTACTCATGATTTGTACAACTATACAAAGGTTATCTACCTACAATAGCTACTACATCACACCTGTGGAAACCAAGATGTGTCTTATTTTCTCGTTAAGGACTTTAAATGTAAATATAATTGGATGACTATCCTTCTCTAGATTTCAACTTTCAGTCCAAGTGATGTCCGCTAAAGAAGCTTATAATGGCTGACACCCATGTTACAGTGCTTAAACACTTATGATATTACATGTAGACAGATGATAATACTCAGAGAGGGTTGTGGGGTAGTGGGAGTGCGGACTCTCTCTCGGAGTATATGTGTTAATGTATTCATGGTGTAGAGGTCACTTCATCTTGTGATAGAATTGGGGCAGTATACATATATAAATAAACAAAGTCTATACAACATATGTAGTCAGGCAGAAAGAAGATACTACCCAGAATACATTATATGGAGGTTTTACTCCAGAGTTATCTCAAGAATTTAGTGATAACAAGCTAGGGTTACTAACACTCAAAACTTCAATGTTTACAAGTATCAAATCACTCTATGTGGTCAGTAGATCGGAAACCAAAATGTTGGAATTGCTCTGTCCTTGCATATTATAGAAGTAAATACAATTGATTGTACCAGTATATGTATTCAACTTTAAAGTATGATATGTATTTGTCTTCACTTCCCAGCAGGTGTATATATAACATATATGTAGGATACTGCACATAGCTAGAATGGCTTTTTTCAGTTTGTTTGTTTTTGCAGTTTGTCTTTGTGATAGCTGTTGGCTACCTCAATCAATAAATATCTCAGCTTTAAAAAAGTGTCTTGTTTGGTTACAATCAGGCATATCTATCATATGTTAAAAGTATAAAGAGATACAAAACAAGCTTGTATACAATTTCCACATGGAAGGCTGTGCTGTTCAGAGTTGAGGTAAAGTGTAACAGGTCTTGTCTTCAAGGACACTAACCACAAGTCAACAATACAAAGCATATATGAGATATCAGCTTCCTGTATACATACCTAACTCCGGATAAAGATCAAACCGATGACACAGTACATGTTGTATCTTCACCTTTTACTGGTTGCAAAGTCTGATACTTTTAAGATTGAAGCCTATGAGACAGTTTTGTCATAATGAATAAGATAGAGGTTAATGGTACAGTGTTGTCATAATGAATAAGATAGAGGTTAATGGTACAGTGTTGTCATAATGAATAAGATAGAGGTTAATGGTACAGTGTTGTCATAATGAATAATATAGAGGTTAATGGTACATGTTGTCATAATGAATAAGATAGAGGTTAATGGTACAGTGTTGTCATAATGAGGTTAATGGTACAGTGTTGTCATAATGAATAAGATAGAGGTTAATGGTACAGTGTTGTCATAATGAATAAGATAGAGGTTAATGGTACAGTGTTGTCATAATGAATAAGATAGAGGTTAATGGCACAGTGCTGTCATAATGAATAAGAGGTTAATGGTACAGTGTTGTCATAATGAATAAGATAGAGGTTAATGGTACAGTGTTGTCATAATGAATAAGATAGAGGTTAATGGTACAGTGTTGTCATAATGAAGAAGATAGAGGTTAATGGTACAGTGTTGTCATAATGAATAAGATAGAGGTTAATGGTACAGTGTTGTCATAATGAATAATATAGAGGTTAATGGTACAGTGTTGTCATAATGAATAAGATAGAGGTTAATGGTACAGTGTTGTCATAATGAATAAGATAGAGGTTAATGGTACAGTGCTGTCATAATGAATAAGATAGAGGTTAATGGTACAGTGTTGTCATAATGAATAAGATAGAGGTTAATGGTACAGTGCTGTCATAATGAATAAGATAGAGGTTAATGGTACAGTGTTGTCATAATGAATAAGAGGTTAATGGTACAGTGTTGTCATAATGAATAAGATAGAGGTTAATGGTACAGTGTTGTCATAATGAATAAGATAGAGGTTAATGGTACAGTGTTGTCATAATGAAGAAGATAGAGGTTAATGGTACAGTGTTGTCATAATGAATAAGATAGAGGTTAATGGTACAGTGTTATCATAATGAATAAGATAGAGGTTAATGGCACAGTGTTGTCATAATGAATAAGATAGAGGTTAATGGTACAGTGTTGTCATAATGAATAAGATAGAGGTTAATGGTACAGTGTTGTCATAATGAATAAGATAGAGGTTAATGGTACAGTGTTGTCATAATGAATAAGATAGAGGTTAATGGTACAGTGTTATCATAATGAATAAGATAGAGGTTAATGGTACAGTGTTGTCATAATGAATAAGATAGAGGTTAATGGTACAGTGTTGTCATAATGAATAAGATAGAGGTTAATGGTACAGTGTTGTCATAATGAATAAGATAGAGGTTAATGGTACAGTGCTGTCATAATGAATAAGATAGAGGTTAATGGTACAGTGTTGTCATAATGAATAAGATAGAGGTTAATGGTACAGTGCTGTCATAATGAATAAGATAGAGGTTAATGGTACAGTGTTGTCATAATGAATAAGATAGAGGTTAATGGTACAGTGTTGTCATAATGAATAAGATTGAGGTCTATGAGACAGTGTTTTCATAATGAATAAGATTGAGTGCTTTGAGACAGGGCTGTCATAATGAATAAGATTCTGACCTATAAGACAATGACATACCTTGCATAATAAGACTTAAAGCATCAACTGAATGAAATAATGATCAACCTCTTAAAACATAAAACTTTATCAGAAGGTGAAAGCTGTGGTTGTTAATTGAAATATGCCAGTTTGTATGACCTGTCATTACTAGTACTTAACATCTTTAGAACTCATAGTCAACATATGTGTTAATATAAGTGGTAAAAAGATGTATTTATTTAAAGTACATAGTGACAAAAGCAAATATTGATCAAAGATTTTGTTTGTTTACAGTACAGTACCTGGTCGTTAATTTGGCTGGGATGGAACGTGTTTGTCATCTGTCTCTACCTGGAAGTCGGGGTTTTAAATAGAGTAAGTACTGTTGATAAAGCTGTCTGTTACAATCCAACCAGAATGATCTGTTACTTTGAACTTACCTTGGAATATTCAAATTTCAAATTGAAATTATTCTTAGGTGCAAGTATATGAACCTTTCTTACAATAAGTTATTATTTTTCTACTTATACTGTAATTAAGCTGACAATCCTCTTATAAATCAGTATGATAAAGGCATGTCAACGTGACAGGTCATTCTAAATTTGATCACTTTTCCGAGACACTGTTTATGCAATACTAAAATAGGTTGTATTTAGTATAGCTTACATCTTCTAGATCTGGACTTAATTAGTTTTGTCTTTCCAAAATTAGTTTTGATTCCTGACAATCAATATGCATGATTGTAGTTTTGACTGCCCATTTTCAGCAAAATGTGTTTGACTTTCGATAGTCAGAGGTCATCAAAGGTCACATTGAACTTCTGCTGTTGGTGTTGTGTATACATGTATTATAAAGTTATTAACAGAACTAGAAATATATTTCAAGATGAAAATAAGCCATTTTCAGGAGAGAAGGGGAGGGGGTGGGAACAGATGGGGAGGAGTAGAGCTCTCATGATCAGTGTGAAATTAACAGAAAATGGACTGACAGGAGCACTCCTTTTTGCTAGGAGTCAAGTATCTGGTTAATTACTGTTAACTAAGCCGACTTCGAAATGTCTTATGCATGTTTTAAATAGCTCAAACAGTTTGACTCTAATGCTCTTGTGCTTAAACCTGTATATATATATATATATATATATATATATATATATATCAGTAATTAGTTCTATAGATATACGTGTACTGGATCAATTGGAAAAGTAATTAAATAGAAATACTCAGTATACAAACATGTCGAGGGATATCCTGTCTTGTAAATGAGGCGTGTGATGATCAAAAATGACGAAATAATTCATATTGATCACATTTCTATGGTAATAGTGAGGACCTTTGCCATTTTAATTTTTGATGATACTAGGCCCGAGTTGCTTGGTAACAAACTTACGTTTGTGTGTGAACCTTTTACTGCCATATATCTACACAATGTATACCTTAACAAGGAAAAACACTAACAGCCGGTACAGATCAATATTGTCTGGACTTTGGACCCTTAATGCTTTCTGATCAGGATCATACAACAGTAATTGTGTTCTGTGTACGTGTGAAAGGTTTTCTTATTTGAATGTAATAACATAAACAGGTACATTGTCAGATTTTTCTTCTCCAGATAATGTATTGTTGTACAAATAATTAACTTAATACTTCATGGAATTTGAAGATATATATATTTATTAGTGAGATAAATAACAGTTATTTCATTGAAGAAAGGGTTTTGATAAAAACCTGATTTATTGCTAATTTGAGTTTATTTTAACTTCACAAATTGATGTCACAATTATTTAGATTAATTTTAGTCTGTTTTAAATTTACTACAGATGAAACTTGTCTCAAAATTGCTTGAGTTAAAATAATTTCTTTTAGTCTGAGTTAATTTCACTGTGATGTCACACATTATCTAAAATTTCCTGTTTACATTTGTTCAACCAGATACAGTAGTGTATACAATATTAGGTACATTTGTAGGTATAATTTTCATTATATAAGTTTTTATCTAGAATTCCATACTCTTAAAAACTAAAAGAACAAAAAATAAACCCAAATAGATATATCTGTATAAGTTTCTCAAAACATAATCTTTACAATTTTTTTCTTTTTCTATTTATTATTGATACTTCAGTGTTTAATGTCTGATTATTTACAAAGTTATTCAAGTTGTAAGTTCTGATTGAGTTGACACTTACAAAGGTGAAAACAAGATTTTCCTACTGATTGTGTCACTGATTAACCCCCACAGATGTTTCAGTATGTCCTACATCGTCCGTTGTAAACATTTTCAACTTCTTATCAAGTTCTACATCTCTCATTGAGCTGAAACTTACCTGAAATGATCGTGACATGATCCTGATCAAAGTTTGTTAATTTCGGGTTGGTCTGAAATCCAACATGGCCACCATCTTAAAAACACATTTTCGACTTCTTCTCAAGTTCAAAATTTGAAATCTTGTATTTTATGTCAGATGACCGTTATGGCCCATGGGCCTGTTGTTCATTTATTGTATGCGACATAAAATAATGTCTTTGGAACTCATAACAGTTTATTGAATTTATAATTAATGTCTTCTTGCATTTTTTTTTTTTTTTTTTTTACACAGAAACGAGACTTGTATATTCTTAGTATTGGAACTAAGAACAAGAGTTGGTGGTTAGAGAATGGTATCGGTTGTAAAATCACCAACACATCCTGGAAGTTACCCAACACGGTCCAGGACTCTAGTCGTGACATTCCACCGGAGGACGTCATCAAAGGCTGTCTCCTAGAGTACTACTACGTAGAGGTCATACACGCAGGAGTTCAATGTTTATTAGCGGTGAGTTACACACACATGGGTTCAATGTTTATGAGGGGTGAGTTGTACACACAGGGGTTCAATGTTTATGAGGGGTGAGTTGTACACACAGGGGTTCAATGTTTATGAGGGGTGAGTTGCACACACAGGGGTTCAATGTTTATTAGGGGTGAGTTGTACACACAGGGGTTCAATGTTTATGAGGGGTGAGTTGTACACACAGGGGTTCAATGTTTATTAGGGGTCTATATTTCAGATGTCAGATTGTCTATCGTCTTGTTTTTATACACCGCTAGAGACGGTCATATATTGGAGTCATCTCAGTCTGTCCATCCGTATGTCTGTCCATACTTCCATTTCTTGTGAACGCACCTCCTCCTAAACTAATCATCAGATTTTCATGAAACTTGCTCAATGTCACTACTACAATGGGTAGATGTACATGAAGGGGCGATTTTTTTGGTTTGCTGATTTTTGCAAGATTTATGCCATTTTCAACTTTGTATCTGTAGCTTGCTCATAGTGGAGCCTTGTGAACGCAACTCCAAAAATTCACGAAACTGCTCAATGTCACTACTACAATGGGTAGATGTGCATGAAGGGTCAATTTTACGGTTCATTGATTTTTTCAAGATTTATGTCATTTTATCTTGATCTTTATATTTTGTGGCAGCGTATATTGTGTTCACGGCACTCTTGTTTTAACTTCTTGCTGAATGAGAACTAATGAAATCTTTATGAATATTGGATTGAATTGTGGTTTGTTTGCAGTTGTTCAATCATTATAAATATAGTATCATATAGTTATAACTTTTTGTTTCAGCTGATCGGTTTTGTCTTTTCCTGCATCAACCTGTACATGTATGGAGATGAGGAAGAGAGTTGTAAGTACCTAGCTCAATCGAGTACATATTCACGTCCAACGTGTGTGCTCGTCAATGAAGACAAGTATGCAACTACCAAATACCAACCAATACCCTCACGTAATAGTTGGTGTCTACCAACATACGTGTCTTACACGGACAGTTTTGATTGGTCAAATTCGGGGCATGCCAAATCAGTCCCAAATATTCATCAGTCCTCCACAGCTCTGACTACACTGAGCTCCGATCATACACCTGTGGATGTGGATGGGGTCGTTGTACGACGACAATTCAACGACTCTGATGTATAGAGTTGTCTCCCCCTGATCAAGGAACCAGTTATTTCTAGTCAGGTGTGTTATAAGTGGGTATAATATGTAGTGGCTATTCATGCTTCTCTCTGTGTCACCAGTAACTCATGGCTCCTGCCAGAATCTCCATCAGTTACTCACATTTTACAGGTCGCAATAAATGACATTTTGAAACAATGGAATGTAACTATTTGTTCTCAATTCAGGTAAATCTGACATAAGCATACCCCTATATAATGAGTCTTTGAGTCGACAGTAATACTATACAATCTCTCTTTGTAACTACATTGTGTGATGATATTACATGATCACATTCCAGATAACGATAATTGAGATTATTTGATAGAAAGGGATTTTAGTGTTAAATGTGATAATTGAGAATTTCTGAAAATTGGCAAGTAAGAGCTTTTATAGTTGGTATATGCTAATAGTGCTATTAGCTTCAAATGGCGTCTTTCATAAGTATATTGGCTTATTTGTTTTGATTGTATGACCTTGAACTTGTGAGTACCTGAAGAGCCTGGGATGCTATCTACTATCACTTCACGATTCTCTGGTTCTGTGTTGTTGTCTCCCATTGTTGTCCTCGAAAAATGATAGATGTTTCTGCCAGCTGATGAGGATGTTTGTACTTCTTTTCTGTAAATAAATAACACCAGCTAATGTTCTTCATTTTTTTCAATGGTCATTCTGAAAATAGAAATAACTTTCTTTGATAGCATAATGTTTTGAAAAGATCTCAATATTTTATTTACAATGTAAGTATGATAACCAGAATGGCGTTGGTGGATTTCGCTTCATTGCTTTTGATGCTGCGTTTGTTTAAACAAGAACAAGAAGGTGTAACGGTAGCTAAGTAGCCAGTTTCCTTAACAGCATTCATCAGCATGTATATGGTGTTGTAAATGTTAAGCATATATTTCAATGGATGTGTCCATATCAGTAGAAATTAAATCATGAGTTGTCTCCCCTTCCATCACTCAGTTGTGTGCACAGACCCCATCCATACTACACAGAGGTGTGATTGAAGAACAGATATTTGAAGTAAAATCAAGAGAAAAATTGTGTTTATAAACGATAATCAGCACACAAGAAATATCTTCTCTTTCCTGAAGCATTTATAACACAATACATCTGAAACTAGCACAATCAGCGATGAAGGCAATATTTTGGTAGTATGTGAAACAGTTAGCTTCCATGAGGGAAAATAACCACTATATTTGCATGTAAATTGATTTTAAAGTTTTTTTTTTAACTTTTATTATCTTTTGATTTTGACTTTTCTGTTCAGCCTCCAGCCTCAGTCTGCATGCTGTTTTGTTTTGTTGTTCATTATCACTTTTGACTTTGACATTTACACTTTTTCTTTCATAATATTCCATGTTTTTTCTTTCAGTTCTTTTATTTGGAATTATAATTTTGTCTGACTTAACAAGTAATAATCTTCATAACAATTCATTTGACATGTATTAATTTGTGTTTGCATACGTCATGTGATTATCAGCTACCAAATCTTATTGAACATTTTCCCCTTTTTGTACCTTTTCAGTATTATATGTTTGTCTGTTTTTTGGTTATTTTGATTTGAATCACTTTCTGGAACTCTATAGATTTGTATGGTATCTTAAGTTGCTGCTAAATCATTGGTTGAGGATTCAGAGTCTAAAGCTAAAGAAAATCAGGGGAGGTGATTCTGGTATATTATGGTAGAAAGGGGGATAACTAGAAGCAGGTTCAGGATAATCAATTATATATATTTGGAGCAATATGTAAATTTGGTAAAAAAAGGAAGGATGTGGAGGTAACTGATTTAGGAAGATTTGGAGGGAGTGGGTTAACTCTGGAACAAGTGAGATGGAGGGGGAAGTAACTCTTTTACAAGTTTGAAAGATGTGGAGGTAACTCTGGTATGAGTGGGAAAGGAGGGGGAGGTAACTAAATAAGGAAGATTTGAAGGGAGTGGGGTTAACTCTGGAACAAGTGAGAAGGAGGGGGAAGTAACTCAGGTACAAGTTTGAAAGATGTGGAGGTAACTCTGGTATGAATGGGAAAGGAGGGGGAAGTAACTAATTTAGGAAGATTTCGGGGGGTTAACTTTAGTACAATTGAGAAGGAGGGGGAAAGATGGGGAGGTAACTAAGTTAGAAAGCTGGGGTTAACTCTGGTATAATTGGGTAGGAGGGAGAGGTTACACAGTTACAAGTTGAAAGAAGGAGGAGGTAACACATATGCTTAATAGTAAAACATGTAAAGGAACTCATCGACTTGTATAAAATAGAACATTTAACACAAAGAAATGTGGCATATTACATCATCTGTAATACAAGATGTAAGACACCCATAGGAATAACATACACAGACATCTCAGCTTTCAGCAATGTGTTGTTATGACAGATTCTAGGGATGTTATGGAGATCAGAAACACCATCTGTCATGTTTCATCTATCACAGCCTACTACACACATGATCGTAGAGATACCAAACAATTCAGCTGGTATGTTATACCTGAACAGTATGAACACAAATGTTACAATGTGAAGACAAACAAAACAGCATGAACACAAACAAAACAGCATGAACACAAACATAACAGTGTGAACACAGACATAACAGTGTGAACACAAATGTTACAATGTGAACACAAACAAAACGGTGTGAACACAGACAAAACAGTATGAACACAAACATAACAGTGTGAACACAGACATAACAGTGTGAACACAGACATAACAGTGTGAACACAAACATAACAGTGTGAACACAGACATAACAGTATGAACACAAACATAACAGTGTGAACACAAACATAACAGTGTGAACACAGACATAACAGTGTGAAGACAAACATAACAGTATGAACACAAACATAACAGTGTGAACACAGACATAACGATGTGAACACAAACAAAACAGTATGAACACAAACATAACAGTGTGAACACAAACATAACAGTGTGAACACAAATGTTACAATGTGAACACAAACAAAACAGTATGAACACAAACATAACAGTATAAACACAAACATAACAGTGTGAACACAGACATAACAGTGTGAACACAAACATAACAGTGTGAACACAAACATAACAGTGTGAACACAAACATAACAGTATGAACACAAACATAACAGTATAAACACAAACATAACAGTGTGAACACAGACATAACAGTGTGAACACAAACATAACAGTGTGAACACAAACATAACAGTGTGAACGCAAACATAACAGTGTGAACACAAACACAAACATAACAGTGTGAACACAAACATAACAGTGTGAACACAAACATAACAGTGTGAACACAAACATAACAGTGTGAACACAAACATAACAGTATGAACACAAACATAACAGTATAAACACAAACATAACAGTGTGAACACAGACATAACAGTGTGAACACAAACATAACAGTGTGAACACAAACATAACAGTGTGAACACAAACATAACAGTATGAACACAAACATAACAGTGTGAACACAGACATAACAGTGTGAACACAGACATAACAGTGTGAACACAAACATAACAGTATGAACACAAACATAACGTGTGAACACAAACATAACAGTGTGAACACAAACATAACAGTGTGAACACAGACATAACAGTGTGAACACGGACATAACAATGTGAAGACAAACATAACAGTATGAACACAAACATAACAGTGTGAACACAGACATAACAGTATGAACACAAACATAACAGTGTGAACACAGACATAACGGTGTGTACACAGACATAATAGTATGAACACTAAAGTTATAGTTTTGAACACAAACAATACAGGTTTCTTGTAGAAATTTACAGGTAAAAGTATCCTGAACAGTGTGAGCACAAATGTTAAGATTTCTTGTCATCTTTTCTTAAGTAAACCTTAATTCCATATTATTGAGCTTGTCTTTTATTTCTGTAAAATACTTTTGAAATCAATGTAAAAATGAAGCTTGTTACTCTAGATAGAAGTGTTATATAAATGTAAAGCTTGTATGGTAATTCAACTTTATTCTACACGTTACGCTTGGCTTTATTTTAGTTTGTTAATCTTGTCTAGTTATGAATTAAACTTAGCTATAATCAACTGATATAAATATACTTTATGATAGACAATAGAAGAACCTCCTAGACCTGGTTAAACAAAATCCAACAATGAGCCTTTTTAAAATGATTGTTCAACAAGGTGCATGCATTATAAGGAAAAGCTGCCAGCCTGTCGGGCATCAATTATGTGTTTGCAATGTATTTGTAAGCCTTGGGTACGATTTATCAGCAATGGCCAGGAAAAATCATCAAACTGATATCAATGAAACTAAAAGCATTTGTTTCCTTATATTTGACTTTAATATATGTCTAATTGTAGTATCAAGGTCATTAGTCAGGTCATATGTCAAGGTCAGAAAAAAGCTTAAAATGTTAATTAATCCTTGGTTTTTAAGGTCATCTGACCCAAATAGTCAGGATGACCTATAGCCATTGTGTTTTGTCCGTCGTTGTCTGCTGTGCACAGGGTGTAAGATTTCCATTTAAATAACCAATAGGCCCAGTATGCTGATATTGGACCTGGAGCATGCTAGGATGTAGGGCTACCATGTGTTTTAATATAAATGACCTTGATCCACTTTCAAGGCCACAGGTGTCAAACATGTTAAAATATTTAAACAACTTCTCAATAACCAAAAGGCCCAGAGTGCTGAAAATAG